GGCTGACACGTGCATGCACACGCGCATCCAGGCAGGCACGTACGAAATGATGCGTTTGATGACTGGAACAACACAATAGAAAAGATCATAATTCCCACCCACTCTTCTTACTTCATGTATTCGCGGACCTCCTGGCCAATCCTCTCTAGGAAACCCACGAATCCAGTAACAAGACCAAGTGACGACGTGGTTCCATCAACGTCCTGCTCCTCGATCAGGTACCGGTGGAACTGATCGGCATCCTGGTGGCCACCTTGGATGTTGATGAGCTTTGGCGTGATTATTCGCTCCTGCTTGAGTTTGTTGATTTTCTGTTTCAAGACACTGGCTTGAGGAGGAGGGAACGGCAATGTGGGCGGGGCACTTGGCGCATAATAAACAACGAGGGTGGTAAATGCATCCAGCAAGAAGATGGGGCTCCCACTGGTGACTAAGGCCGCCCTGCTGAGCGAGTGTTGAGGGTAGGCCTCTTCATTGGGAGACTTGTACGATGACAGCAGTGGATAGACTGCCCGCAGGAGATAGGATGGATCCAGGGAGCTATAAAGGCATTGCAGGTACGTGCGGTAGTCAGGGTGGACTCCCTCTTCATGAAACTTGAGCAGAGGGCTGCGCAGCATGGCAAAGATCACCCGGGGAAGAGGCTGCAGCTTCGGGGCATTCTCAAATTCCACGTCCACCGTCGCATTTCCCACGTCTCCAAACTTCGCCGTCTTGTAGTAATCATTGTACTGCGCCGTCAGGATGACCAGCCAGTCCTGCAGCAGCAGCCTTCCTTCCTTCACTCCTTCCTCCAGGGATGCACGAATAATCTTATGCGTGAGCAGCGTCAGTATAACTTCCGGATCCGATGCCTCGTATAACTCAGCAGGGCTATGCGCCACCGGTATCTGCACGGTTTTCACACGCAGCCGCCTCTTGAGAACGTACTTGGTCGTCACAAGCGCTGCTGACCCAGCTGCTCCATTGACATCGGCGGCAGCAGCAGCCCCAGCAGCAGAGGAGCCAGCATTCCGTGCTTTCCCATCTTCGCTCAGTGGAATAGACTCGTTGCTACTTTTGCCCCCACCATCTTCTGCCGCAGCTGTGGCCGAGGGAGCCTCTACGGGGATCAAGACAGTGTACTGGAAAGCCATCTGAATGAAGGGAGGGAATTCCGGCCGGCTGAAACCAGTGGAGTTGCAGAACTCCAAATCGTACGCGTATGTATCGAACGGATCACAGCAAACGATGTGCTGGACGTTCTCAAACTCTGCGTCTGCAAAGAAGTTGCCATACGCTCGTGCAGGCTTGAATTCTGGGGAGGTGCGGAGTCGCAGAGAAGCACGGAAGGCATGGGGTCGACTGAGCATGCGGTATATGTCCTGCGGCAAGGTGGTGTCATCGGCGCTGCTGTAGAGCCACAAATGCCCGCCACTGCAGATGCTCAGAAACTTGAGGGATGCGAGGTCGGTGTACTCGTTGGAGACCACAAACAGATCGACACAAACTCCGACTGCAACGGCCAGTTCTGCCAGGTTCTTGTAGAAGTCCGTTTGTTCCATCAACAACACTCTGTTGGGATCAAGTCCCTTGGTAGCGAATTGGTCTCCATACCTTCCAGAGTCGAGCTGCCCGATGCCATAATCAGGGGGACCGGAACAGAAAGCGCAGAGCCGAGCGCTGACGAACAGGTCATCGGTGTCCGAGCCCAAGTAGTTGATGACAGCGTCCATGGCCGCACCAAAGCCACGAACCCCGACTGCCATTTCCTCCGGCGCCCGACCGAGCGCAGCCGCTCTATCCCACGACGTGGCCGCTTTCAAGCCCTCCAAAGCCGATGTGATCTTCTCCTTGTTCTTGTCGATTGGCGCAAGAAAGGCCTCCAACGGCATCACCTGATCCAAGGACACCGGCAACTCCTCGTCCTCTTCAGCACTCGGAGGAATGAACACGTACTTGGCCACCGGCACCGCTCCTTGCACGTCATACAAACCGATCTTGTGACTGAACGTGACCAGACCGAACAATGCCGCCGGACTCAGCGCCTCCAACGCGGCCAGCAAGGCACTCTTCACAAGATCCAAGAACTCCTCTCCGCCTGTCAAATCCACGGCTGCGATGTACACAGGCCGCGTGTGCAAATCCCCTCCGACCTCTCCGTCCTCGTCAGCTGCCACCTCAAAATCCACCTGGCTCCTCACCAGCTCGTGCAAGTACATATGCTCCGACCGGTTCCCGTAGCGCTTCTGCTGCTCCTCGCTGAAGCTGTTGTAGCAGTCGCACAGGCTGCACTTCCAGGAATACCTTTCCACATGGCAGTAGCCGTTGATATACGCGAAGCAGTCCTCGCATCTCGCTACATCCTCGGCCCTCTGGAGATTCTTGCGCAGCAGACTTGACTCGTCCTCGAGCGCAAAGGGTTGCACCACGCAACCCCAAGGCACCCCGCTTTTGCTGAGAAGGGCCCCATCAGCTGGAAACTTGTTCAACGAGAACCGGATAGACATCTTGACGTGGCGCCCAGGAGCGGTCTGACGTGGCAGTCAGACACGGGGTGTGGCCCACGCGGCAGCTAGAGGGGGGC